TCACTCAGAGTCATACCTCAACATTCTTGCGGAAAGCTTTGCATTGCGAATTGCAGCGAATTATCCTTTGCCTTATTCCAGCTGTGTCTCGATGGTCTCAATGATGCTGTCTGCCAAGTTATCCAAAGGAATCCAGTATTTCGTAAAGTGGTTCGTTAGTGTAGGCACTACAGGCAACTAGTTCATAGAAGCACGTCTAACTACCATTGCAGGACCAACAAATGAGCTTAGCGCCTCCTCCAAATCAAGATCCATACGAGTTGGTAACAGCGTGCTTAAAAAGCGGTAATGCATTTGAAGATTACAAGGTGAGTGAAAAACGCAATGAATCTCAAAATTTCGACATAAAAAATGAAGCTAATAACCTTGGAGTGGGGACATTCAAAGGACCCTCTGTGCAAACCAATGTCATCCGAACAGAAATACGGTTTTTGGAATTGGTTCGCCAATCCCAGGGTTCCTCCCCTCTTTAGGCTTGGGTGAAAATCCTCACCTCCATTGCAGCAGCCCCAGCTTTGTACAAGGAGTCCTTTAAAGGCAGAACCCGCGATTATTCGTCCATCCCAGATAGTGGATTAGGGGGTTCCATATAGACGACAAGGGGTTGAGTAACTCGACAGTGAAGAAAAAAAGCACAAAAAACATGCCACCTGTAGAGTAAAACCTCCCCAGTTTATCCTCACTCTTGTACCGCCATTTAACTATCTCTCCAGACTCGCCCTCATCAGGCACCAGCTGATCACTATAGACTACACAGCTCTTATAATGTGACAAATCACTGCTTCTCCTGCGATCCTCGTATTTTCCACTGAAAGCTCCGGCACTGGAGCGGAGTCACTGCTAAAAAAAAAAGGAGCAACACTGGTACTATATTGCGGCTTAGCCCTCCTTAGAATTTTTTGCCGCCAAACCAGTGCAAGGTTGTTCGTCGCGGACGACTCTAACCTCCTGACGCCATTCGATACCTGATCGCTGACCGTGCCTTTGAAATGCCCCTCCCTGGGATTACTAGTGACGAAAAATAGTAAGATTTCAGAATTTCAAAACTCAAGTCTCCTTATATGAAAAGCAAGCTGTTGAACATCGAGAGTACATTCGCCGGGCCAGGCGAGCACTGCACAACATCCGCACATTTGTCCAACATGACTACTGGATAGTCGGAATTCAACGAACAGGTTAGATAAATACTATTGAGCCTCTGCACCCGCATTCTCCCGAAACACCGACAGTCGAATAGGCTGAGACCCAAAAACATTCTGCTTCTTTCGTTATTACGTCTCTCCCCCCTGATACAAATGCGAAACAGAAATGCGGCATGGATGGAGAAAGGACACGAGTCTCCGCCCATTCGATTTTCGCGGGATATCTCTAAATTCCTGTTCGATGCGGATGCTGGGGTGTGTGAATGGACTGAGTTCGGCGCGGCGCGTACCGCGTCTCGCATCCATCGTAGGGTACCAAAATTATTCCAAATTTGAAAGTAAGCTATTTTTAGAACTGGATAATCTACGTATAGAAATGGATTTTGCTAAAGCAGAAGTTAAAGCCGCGAAAGAACCGCAGCTCATAGATCTGAAGAACAAATTGTACTCTCAAGCTGTGAAAGCGTTTCAAGATAAGCTCAAAGAGGTTTGCGGCTTTGAAACTTTTAACCCATACTTGTTTTTCAATTACGCATGTCTAGGTTACCAAACTTATGGATGCAGTCCCAAAAAACAAAGAAGCTCACTTAGAAGACGTGATTGAATGGACCAATTGTACGCGAGTCTATCATGAAAAAATGGCTAAACTTCTTGAAGGCACCTAATAGGGAGATTATTTTTTGAATTGAACATTGTCATCGTTATTCACAATACGCATTACAAACATTACGGTAGACTTATTGTACGTGAGATGCCTGGAATGAATTACTTGTTTAAGAAGTCGTTTTATGTGATCACCTGTTGCAAACCAGGCCGCGTTCATGCTTTGCGAGCATGGGAAATCCATGGCTGGAGGGGAGGTAACGACGACGATGGGTTAAGTGGCAACTGACTAGCGCCGGCCCACCAGAGTACCGCTTACTCTCACCACTGGGCCAGGAAGTGTCTCTAAACTTCTCCCAACCTTCACAGCTTTCCGGGGCGGGAGGAAAACTAAAAATCCCCCCCACCCCCCTCCAAAAAAAAAAAACTGTTGGCGCTGAGCTGGACAGGGAGTGCCGGTGGGGGAGATGGCGTGTATAGTAGCACCTCCAAACAGGAAGGGAAAACCGAGGAGAATTCATCACAAAAAGCCTTGGCCAGAGCAGCAAGTAGCGAACATGCGATCCTTCACAGCACATGCCAGAACTCACCACCTCCTGCGCAGCGGAGTTCCCGTACTTACGAGCATGTGCGAGTCCTGTAGTAGGGTGTTGGACAGAGAGTACTCGTGTCTGGAAGGGGGGCGGTGAGGAGAGGGACGGAACAGAAAATGTCGCATTTGACGCTCGATGAGAATGGGTCACGGATTATGGAGGCCGTCGAATACGCTGTGATACTGCCAGAGACTTCATCGGAAGTTCCGGGAGAGGCGGAGGTGTGGCGTGTGCTGTCTGGGGTTCACCAGGAGACAGGAGGAACGGCACCCACCTGAGCAACTATCCGTGACCAGAAAACCAGAAGTGGTGCACACTGAACCACACAACCAAATCTATGCGTCACAAAAGTGGGCTGACAGAGCTTGCATACATGGCTCTGTCGACTCCGCAGAACATCCGAACCTAGCCCCGCGTGTCCCGGGCCCGGCCTCGAGCTACCGATCTGGCGGCCGCTCCAACACCCCTTTCTCAACCTGATCGTCTTGCAAAGTGATCAGCCCCAGTCAACACACGGGCTGTAAAACCAGGTGCTCCCACCGAACAACATGATACGCACGCTCTCCTCCCTGCTTGCTAAAAGCAAAAAATCAAGAACAGTTTGGCCGAGCCGCTAAACGCCAGCACCGCTGCTGACACAACCATCTCCCATCCGTAGCCGGCGACAAGAATATAAGTCGCCGAGCACGGACGGGTACGGCTGCGTAAGGGCCAAGTCAGCTGCTCAACTGAAGCTCCGAGATATATCAGAAGACACATTCCCAAAAAGTGGCCAGATGTCGAGGAGGCGGAATAGGGAGTAATACGAGATTCATAGGTGTGAGAAGAATGGCAAAAAATAGCAGGATAGCCCATGGATCACGCCCGAAATGGATTGGTGAACAAGAATGCAATGCACGGAGATGCAAAGAAACTCGTCAAGGTAGGTGAGAAACCGCACAACTGCAACCGCACACAGTCGCAAGAGCAGTGAAGGAAGGTGGGTGGGTATTTCGCATCGTGGGTAGAGCCAGACTGAAGAAGACGCCGTCACGGTAATTGATAAGCCTCAAGCCCCAGGTGACTTCGCCAAGCGTCGCTTTTTCGACAAGCGAGGTAATATGTTGTGCGGCCGCGGACCGGCTCAACCTTTAAAGGATTTTAATCCCCCGTTTAATCACAGAAAGTGTCTATAAATCAGCCAGTTCATGACGCTTACAATAGTACCACTTATGACGCTCTGTGGCGGAGCCTTAAACACTTACCGGTGAGCTTTCCGAGATTCCCAGCGCGCCCAGAGCTTTCCGCACCCGCTTCGTGATTCCCGGAATCTGAATTTCAACCGTAAATCAAGCAGGAGTTACTGTCACGATCCCTGCGAACGATAGAGCATGTAAGCGGCGTGAATTGAACCGCAGCCAGGGCAACCTTTTCCTCCGATCGTTGCAGACTTAGGATGGCATCGTTGGTGTAAAAGCGCCCTATCTTTGGCAGGGATCATGACTCTATGCATGCTGCTATAGAAGATAGTCAAAAAAAGCGAAAATAAAGTGCAACTTTAAAATCACCTCATCTTTTTCCACTAGGTCAATCTTGTTCAATACTATCACCACTCGATTTGGGCAGAATATAGAGCATAACAGCAAGTGTTCTGAAGTCTGCGGTTGAATTCCGGACGACGCATTCACCACCTTGAAAATGCAAAGTCAAGAAAATGAAAGAATGGGTGAATGAATAAAGGAAGGAACCATAAACCATAAAAGTATTCAGAAGCCACCTTCAATTTTTTGAACATTCGGAACGAAAAGGTGGGGGCATCTTAAGGGCAAGGGAATGGTAAATTAGGTGCTAAATTTAGCAAAACTGCGCTATGTCATTTGAGCCTCAGGTCTCGAAAGAATAACGCAAACGCACAGTCCATCGTCGTCTCTGA